TTAAATTATATGCTTCATTCAGTCAAGTACAGTAAAGCAAATTTTATATGCTTCAGTCAGTCAAGTACAGAACCAATAATTGTTGGTTTATTAGAATGGAAAATTTAGACAAAAAGGGAGCCATTTATATTATCAACAATTAAAATTAATTTAAATTTCAAATTTGTAAGAAACGCAATTATTTTACTTACAATTAATTTTTTACGTTATAAAAGTTTCTCCTTCATTTTTCGCCAATTTTATTTAATTACAGGATTTGAAAAAAATACCGAAACTTATTGTAAAATTTGTAAGGTTTGTAAGGTGTATTGAAAATTTTCATATAAGATGTTTCGAAAATTGCAATCTTTGAGTAATTGGAGATATTTTTAAAAAATTTGATCAGAACTTTAAACATTGTTCAAATTTATAACACCAACACATAAATAATACAAAAAAAAAAAACAAATAAATTTTCCAAAATTTGTCAAAAGAAAAAATTAAATTGAAAGTGAAAAAAAAAATATTTGTTTCTTTTTCCTTTCTAGTTTTTTACTTTTTTCTTTGAATAAAAGTACACAAAAACAAAAATGATATTTTTTACTCAACTATAAAACAGCAAACGTAAACAATCAACAACTGCAGTAGTTATAGATATGTTTATTCATATGTGTATGTTGATTGTATATGGTCGAGTATGTGAAAAAAAGGAAAAAAAAATTATTACACACCTGAGGCTATTGGTGTTTTTTTTTTCTCTTTTTTTTATATTAAATATCTATAGCAACTTTAATTTTGAATTTTGATGTACATATATTTCACTGAAATGTATGTTCTGTTCTATTCATTCTATGCTTTACACAGAAATTTCTAATTTAGAAAACTAGAATTTAGGCTGGTGCAACCCCATAGGTTTAAAAAATAATAAAAAAAAAAGTGCATATAAAATTTTTCTTTTTATATTTTTTTTTCCTTTTTTCATTTTCATTTACTTTTAAAACAAAAAACACAACAAAAATATGATGGCAACTCTTTGATAAAAAATATGCATACCTGTTTTTTAAAAAAAAAAAACTTTTTTAATGGAATTTTCATACTAAATAAATACAAATAAACATTTTATTGTGGTTTACTGAACTGTTGAAAATCTCGCATGGATAATGTTTAGAGAAGGTTTTCATTTTATAATACATTTGGGACTTTTGGTGAGATAAAAATATTAATAATATTTTATACCAAATCATAAAACTCTTATATTTTATTTTTTTCTTTAGCTATATAGTAATTATGGAAATAGAAATACTTTTTAAGAAATTTATTCTATATGCGACATAGAAAATGGTTTTTAATTTGAAAATAATAAAGTCTATTGAAAATAATTCATTCTAACCCACATTCAAAGTTAATCTATCGTTTTATTAAAAAAGGTTAATAAATACATATGAAATATGTATATAACTTAAATTTTTATTTAACAATTTATGCAACCTCCTGCTAGCCTTGTACTCTTAAAAGATCCACTTATTTTTGCAACATTTTGTTTTAAAAAAAAACGAGAAAAAATAGAGTTGACACGGTATGTTAGCCGTACGAATTTGTTATCCTACGTGCGAGTAAATATGCCATACCTGACTATGGGACTTTAAGTTGCCGTATTTCCATTTTAATTTATATACAAAATTTCAGTACTGTGTTTTTAATATTTTCTAACATATGGCTAAACTTCTATTGAAGTTGTACGGCAGCTACCACAACGAAATTTCAACGATTTTTATCACACATAACAGATCTAATAACACACTTTTTTCACGGAATTTCTATATTAAAACTCCAATAATTTCTGAGATAATGCTAAATAACGCTTGGAGTTGTATGGCAACTACTACAAGGAGCTAAACAATTTCAACGACTTTTACATATTGTATAACTAAGGCCAATATTAAACATATTGGCCCTAGTTATATGTTTGCTTGTGCGAAATTTTAAAACCACAGCTATTATAGTTTCTGAGATATAGCCAAATAAATTTGAAAGCTGTATGTCAAGTACCCGAACCAGTACCACGATCATATCCAACTTAAATAGGGATCTGGCATTTACTATAATAAATAATTTATGAAAATTTGGTGAACTTAATTAGTTTTTAAGTTATGGTTGGGACGGACGAACAAGCAGGCAAAGCAAAATCGACTCAGAATTCGACGCTGATCAAAAACATGTGCTTGAGTCTATATATCAGACCATTATTGCTTGACGTTACGGTAGTGCAAATTTAGTATACCGAACATACGTTCGTGCGGGTATATTGACCTTGTTATTAGAATTTTGGTTTACCGACCGAGTTGCGTAAACACATTTCTACATTACAGGAAAGCATAAATAAACTATTCTCAGCGATATGTTGACAGGGGGTCTGTTAGAATTTAATCACCAATAAATTGGCCATTAAAGTTGTATTTGTTTCATGTTATTTAATTTATTTCATTTTTCGCATTTATTTACAAAATTATAGTAACATTTTTACACGGAAAATAAATATCACCAAATATTTAATATTTAAATTTCATTTTCCCTCATTTACGCAGGGTTCGCATACTTTTCACTTACAAACCACACCCGATTTCTCCAGAGTAATTTGAAATATTATATTTATTACTGTAAAAAGAACACATCAAATGACATTTCGACAAAAAAGTTTCGAAAAAATAGATTTATCAAAAAAGACAATGATACTTTACTACAGAACACTTAGTATTACCGTATATTCATATTTAACGCATTTTTCGAGGACTTAAGTTAAAAATTTAACTCTCTTGCTCTAAATCACTACTAGTCAACATTATTATCATAATCATAATCACAATAAATTTATTGAAAACATTAAGTTTTATAATGTAACAACTAAATTACAAAATAATAAATCTCCTTTTAATTAAAATTTTCAACAAAAAAGAAATATATATAACAATTTTTTGGTTTTTTGACATTTTCTTCATTTTTTTTCAAGATTTTATGTTTCTCTCAATTTACTATCCCTTACCCATTTTCTTTATGTATTAAAATTATATCGATATGTAAAGAGATGCTGTAAATTCTTTCATACAATAAAATAATTATAACCTTGAAACGGATTCATTAAGTTAATGAATCAATTAAATTATCACGTATCTTCTATTTAAATCAATAACATCATAATGACTGATGTGTGTTCCAAAATTAACTTCGAATTTTTTTTATTATCCATTAAGTTTCATTATCATATTCGTTTATTCTATATACCACTTAGAATAAAAATAGTTGCATATTTTTAAATAAAAAAGTGAGGTCCTTTATGATTTAGATGCACATTCATTTATTTAATAGGCTATAAATAAAGTTCGAGCAAAATGAAAAAAAGGAATATCCAAAGTCTAGTGTTGAAATACGTGTATATGTTACAATGCATTGTATGTATATGTATAATTACCAATGTAATAAACTTACGTTAACGATTTCAAGTCTTTAATTGAATTTCTTTTCGTTTTATATACTATTAAATATTATGCAAAAGAAGAACTTCTCTTACACAAAAGTTTTTAATAATATATTTCAAAAGAAAAATATACCATGAGTTATTCAATTTAGTAAGCTATTAAATAAATATTTTTTAACGAGAATTTTTCTTAAAATTAAAATAAACTATCCATATACATATAGTTATTACTTAAATTCGTAACGTCAAATACTCAAGATAAAGATGTTTCACTCAATCCTATTAAAATTAATATGCAATTAGGTCCAATTACAAAAGTAATTAATTTTTGTGTTCTATAACAAATTTTTGTAGTTTTCTTATTGATATTTCATTTTATTTATTAAATTAGAGAATATGTAACGAAATTATCTCTGTTCTGCATGGAACTAAAAGTATATCTTACTTACTCGCCTCACTATAAATTCTTATGTGGTCAGCACCTAACGAACCGCAATGTATATTATTTAGATTAGTGAATGTATTTCCGAAGATTATGAAAATTGCGTTTTACACATCTTCACAATTTTAAGGGCATTAATTAGCTTTTAGTTAACATACCTAAAAATGTAAATTGGCTCTTAGTAGAGTTTCATTTTGTGTGTTCCGAATTATACGAATCAGTAACTTCTAGTTCTAGAAGTTCGTCAGTAACTTCTAGTAACAACCAGAACTCAAATATTAAATTTCAAGAAATTCCATCAATTCGTTCCGTAGATATGGTGAAAAATGAATAATCGGCCCCAGATCAGTTTTCGAGTCCTGATCTTTCCAAAAAATTTATATGTTCATTGTTTTAGTACGAAGAATTTAAATATTAAATTTCAATGAAATCGGTTAATTATTTTTCTTTATATACGCAAAAATGTATATTGGGCCCGTAGTAAACGTCCAATTGCTGACACCTGATTTCTTCCAAAAGTTAGGAGGTTTCGCGGACGGTCGAGCGAACCCTTTATATGAAATTTCAAGTAAATCGCTTGAATATTTTCTTCAAAATGGTCAAAAATGTAAAACAGGCCCCCAAAAAAGTACACTTCCCGAGGCCTGATATATCCCAAAAATTGACCAAAAGTGTTATAGAAGAGTATGAAACTTTTTTTCAAATACTTCTTTCCAATTTTAAGAAAGTTAGTAAATTTTTAGTTAAAATTTCTAGAAAAATGTAAAATTGGGTCTTAACAGAGTTTCGTTTTGTTCCATCAAAAGTCCAGAAAAAGTTCATCAGTTATTTTTGATTATAAGAAGAACTCAAATATTAAATTTCAAGATATTTAAATTTCAAAATATAAAAACATGATGTTTTTAAAAAATCTGGACGTTCATTGTTTTAATATTCTTTGAGCTTTAAATTTCAAGATAATTGGTTGACTGTTTCTCTTCATATGTGAAAAAATGTAAAATCAACCCGCAAGAAGCTTCCGTTCCGAAGCATTCCAGAAAAAAATAAAATTTCGTCAATATCCATATAGGAATATATAGTTTATTTACGCTCCCCAACCATCGAGATATGCGTTCACCAAAAACTCAACATCCGAAATTTGATGCCATCACATCACCCACGTTATTATATGCAATACCATTACATCACCCCCGTTATTAAATGCAATGTGGTCGGTAAAATTAAGAACGGAAGTTTAATTTAGGAAAAAGTGCTTCTTATTGTTGGGTTTAAGACCTTCCGATAAGATCCAAAATTAAAATTTTTTCAAAAAAATTTTTGTATGATTTTTGATCATTCATCATTAATTATTCATCGAACTAAGAAACTATCATCATTGCATAATGTCTCAATTGTTTAATAAATAAATTCAAATAAAACTCTAAAATATCAATTTCTCAACATGATTTTTTTTATTTCAGCACATTCCAATTTCTTTTGTCCAGATGAAGGATTGTTTGCTGACGATTACGAATGTCAGTTGTTTTATAGATGTGAATTAAGATCAAATCAGCGCCTTAAGTCATATTCTTTCAAATGCAGAGATGATTTAGTTTTTTCCAGAACTTTAAAGATTTGCGTACCAGCAATTATTTCTGGCCGAGACGAATGTATTGAATCAATGAATGAAATAGACAGTCCCATTAATCAAAACTTAGTAACAGACCAGAGTACATTGGAAACAAATCTTCGATCGCATCAAGGTAATAGTGGATTAAATGGTATACGTATTGTGTCTGTTTTAACATCATCACCACGCGCACGCAATAATGATGGCGGTTTAAGATCAAATGATTGCCAACAGGAAGGCTTTATGAAAGATCCCGATGATTGTACAAAATTTTATCGTTGCATTGACAGTGGAAGAGGCTTGATGAAAGTAACGTTTCAATGCGCTGAAGGAACCGCATGGGATGAAACATTATTAACATGTAACCATATTGGGGCTGTTCCCGGTTGTCTACACAAAAACACTTTATCTGATGAAACCACCACCACAAACTCATCTTCGTCTAGTTCCAGTTCCAGTTCGACCTCTTCAAGCTCTTCGTCAACTGAAAGCTCTTCGAGTTCCTCACAGACGACATCCAATTCTGGAACTACTACTTCTCAATCAACTACGTCAAGTAGTTCTTCACAAATGAGTAGTAGTTCTTCTAATCAGTCATCCTCTTCATCTAACAGCACGACAACTAGTACAACTAACAACAATAATAATAATAATCAAGGCTCCTCCAACAATCAAGGGTCTTCTAATAATCAAAACTCTTCAAGTAACCAAAGCTCATCGTCCAATCAAGGGTCCTCTAGCAATCAAGGCTCTTCAAATAATCAAGGTTCTTCGAACAATCAAGGTTCTTCCAATAATCAGGGTTCATCGAGTAATCAAGGTTCTTCATCCAACCAAGGCTCTTCGTCTAACCAAGGTTCATCCTCATCCAATCAAGGGTCTTCAAACAATCAAGGTTCTTCGAACAATCAAGGTTCTTCCAATAATCAGGGTTCATCAAGTAACCAAGGCTCATCAAGCAATCAAAGTTCTTCGTCTAATCAAGGTTCCTCTAGTAATCAAGGCTCTTCTGATAACCAAGGTTCATCGGCAAATCAAGGGTCATCAACCAATCAGGGCACATCAAATAATCAAGGTTCATCTGCCAATCAGGGTTCTTCAAATAATCAAGGTTCGTCGTCTAATCAAGGTTCATCGACTAATCAAGGATCTTCAGCTAACCAAGGCTCATCAAATAATCAAGGATCATCTAGTAGTCAGGGTTCCACTGTTAATCAAGGTTCGGCAAGCAATCAAGGTTCATCCAGTAATCAAGGATCGTCCAGCAACCAAGGCTCGTCAAATAACCCGTCTTCCGCAAGTAATCAAAATACTAATCAAGAATGTACTTCAGAAGGATACTTGCCTCACCCAACCGACTGTACTAAATTTCTCAGATGTGTCGACAATGGTCAAGGAGGATACACCAAATATGAGTTTACTTGCGGCCCTGGAACAGTCTGGGATAAAAGAAGTCAAACATGCAACCATCCACATGCTGTCGACGATGAAAAATGTGGTGGAAAGCAAGATTCCTCAAACAATCAGGAAGTCCCTAACAATCAAGGCTCATCCGCCAATCAGGGTTCGTCGAGTAATCAAGGGTCATCTAGTAATCAAGGATCGTCTAGTAATCAAGGGTCTTCGTCTAACCAAGGATCATCTAGTAATCAGGGATCTTCTAATAACCAGGGATCATCAAATAATCAAGGTTCTTCAAGTAACCAAGGTTCATCCAGTAATCAAGGCTCATCTAATAATCAGGGATCATCCAGTAATCAGGGTACTTCAAGTAATCAAGGTTCATCAAGTAATCAAGGCTCTTCTAGTAATCAAGGATCATCTACTAATCAAGGATCATCTAATAATCAGGGATCGTCCAGTAATCAAGAGTCTTCAAGCAATCAAGGTTCGTCAAACAACCAAGGATCATCCAGTAACCAAGGTTCATCCAGTAACCAGGGTTCGTCTAATAATCAGGGATCGTCTAATAATCAAGGTTCATCCAGTAATCAGGGTTCGGCAAGTAACCAAGGTTCAGCCAGTAATCAAGGCTCGTCTAGTAACCAGGGATCGTCTAATAGTCAGGGATCATCTAGTAATCAGGGATCATCTAGTAATCAGGGTTCGTCAAGTAACCAAGGTTCAACCAGTAATCAAGGCTCATCTAGTAACCAGGGATCGTCTAATAATCAGGGATCATCCAGCAATCAGGGATCATCCAGTAATCAGGGTTCGTCAAGTAACCAAGGTTCATCCAGTAACCAAGGTTCATCTGGTAATCAGGGATCGTCTAATAATCAAGGGTCTTCGAGTAATCAAGGTTCATCGAACAATCAGGGCTCATCCAGTAACCAAGGTTCGTCTAATAATCAAGGCTCTTCAAGTAATCAAGGATCTTCCAGCAATCAGGGGTCGTCTAATAATCAAGGATCATCAAATAATCAAGGCTCATCTAATAATCAAGGGTCTTCGAGTAATCAAGGTTCATCGAACAATCAGGGCTCATCCAGTAACCAAGGTTCGTCTAATAATCAAGGCTCTTCAAGTAATCAAGGATCTTCCAGCAATCAGGGATCGTCTAATAATCAAGGATCATCAAATAATCAAGGCTCATCTAATAATCAAGGCTCATCCAGTAATCAAGGCTCCTCAAACAACCAAGGTTCGTCTAACAACCAAGGTTCGTCTAATAATCAAGGCTCTTCCAGTAATCAAGGATCTTCCAGCAATCAAGGTTCATCAAGCAATCAAGTTTCGTCTAATAACCAAGGTTCGTCTGATAATCAGGGCTCCTCCAGTAACCAAGGATCTTCCAGCAACCAAAGTTCATCTAGTAATCAAGGAACTTCTGACAATCAAGGTGAAAAACCCCCTTGTGAAAACAATAACAAGCCTGAAGCAGTTTCTAATATCCCAGCAGGATCTAATGGAAAATGCGAAAGGGAAGGCTTCGCTGGTGATGAAAGCGATTGTAGAAAGTTTTATAGATGTGTTTCCAATGACAAAGGCGGCTTTACCAAATACGATTATTTATGCCCAGAAAGCACCGTGTGGGATCAATCAATTACAACTTGCAATTACCCTAATGCTGTTAGTGGCAAATGTGGCACAGACTCGCAAACCATAAGCTCAACAGAATCAAATACAACTCCAACAACCGTGTCTTCCTCTAGTACAACAATAAAGCCAACTGAAGCCTCCCAAATCTCAACCACACAACCCCCACAGGGTTCTAGCACAAGTCAACCACATGTTTCTAGTACCCAAAATCCATCAACAACGCCTATCCCGGCCGGATCAAATGGAAAATGTGAACGCGAGGGATTTATGGGTGACGAAGATAATTGCGAAAAGTTTTCTAGATGCGTGAGTGACGGTAAGGGTGGATTTACAAAATACGAGTTCGCTTGTGGTCCTGGAACAGTATGGGATCAGGAATTGCAAACTTGCAATTATCCCGAAAATTTAAAAGATGGAAAATGTAAAAATTTTATCAGTGTAAGCAATACAACTACCACTGAACATCCAAGTTCGTCGCCAAAGCCCAGTTCAACATCATCACCAGCTCAACAATCAACAGGAAAACCTACCACAGAAAGCACGACAATTACTCCATCTTCTTCAACCACGTCGACTACAGAACAAGCACAACCACAAACAACAGAAAAACCAACAGAAGAATCAAACTCAAGTACCGCATCTCCAACTCAGTCTGATGGAAAGAAATGTGAGAAAGAGGGCTTCATGGGTGATGAAAAAGATTGTAAAAAATTTTACAGGTGCGTCGATAACGGGCAAGGAGGCTTTATAAAATATGAATTTACATGTGGCGAAAATACTGTATGGGATGAAAGCATTTTAGGATGTAACCATCCATGGGCTGTTAATTCGAAATGTGGCACTTCTCAATCATTAAATTCTAGCACTAGTCAACAACCTCCAACTGAGAATCAAGTAACAACTGAAGCTCAACAAAGTCCAGTAACAGAACCAACTACGCAAGCTCAAACAACGACGCAAGGAACTATTCCAACTACAACACAGATTCAAACAACAGGTGAGCCTTCAACTCAAACTACACAACAATCAACAAGTGAAATAACGACACAGCCTACAACACAATTTCAAACTAGTACTCAGCCTGCAAGCCAAACGACAACTGAAATCACAGAGCAACCCACTACCCAATCAACAACACAGTCTTCAACGCAACCGACAACACAATCAGTAACAGAAACGACAACTCAAGTCACAGAACAACCTTCGACTCAACCAACAACCCAGTCTGTAACACAACCGGCAACGCAGTCAGTGACGGAAACCAACACACAATTGACAACTCATCCAACTACTCAAACATCAATTCAAACTACGAATCAACCAACCTCATCAATACCTACCGAAAGCACCACAATTGAGTCTACAACATCTGTAACAGAGACTACAACAAACGTTCCTTCAAACCCGCCAGGAAAAGTATGCCTTAACGAAGGTTATATGGCAGATCCGGATGACTGTACCAAATTTTACCGTTGTGTAAAAAATAACGATAAATTAGACCGCTATGAATTTACTTGTGGCGAAGGAACTGCTTGGGATGAAAGTTTAAACACATGCAATCACAGGGATAAAATCGAACGATGCAATGGCCAAACGACGCAAACTCCAACGTCAACTACACAAAGTTCTAGCGAAAGTACAACAATAATTTCAACAGCCTCTCCCACAGATCAAACGACAATAATGCATACAACTGAAGCAACGACTGTTCCTACAACAGGTAAAAGAATCATTTTTCATACCTTAGCATGTAATTAATTAATCAAAATTTTATATACACATTTATAACATAATTATATAATAATCATAAACAAATTTTTATTAGTTCAAACAACTTCGGCACCAGCACCGGCAACAACATCAGTACCGTCGACTGAATCAACAATAAAACCAACCGAAGCATCAACTACTATTGAAAGCGTAGCAGAAAATACAACAGAACAACAATCATCAACAACTGAACCATCGTCAACAGAAGGTACTACCCAAGACCCGTTAACAACAACAACAACATCAAGTGGTACCGGAGCAGAACCCTGTCCAGTTACAAACAGTAATCAAGCCCTCTTTGTTTGTCCAACCGGATTCAGACGACATCCTCAAGATTGCAATATGTTCTATCAATGCTCAAACAAACCTGACAGTACAGATTTAAGTATTATAACATTTAAGTGTCCAGCTGAGAACGTTTACAACGAAAAAGAGATGAAATGTACAAGTCCAAATGAAGCTCCTGCATGTAGCTCTACGCAATCGTCTACTTTACGTTCATCTTTTGATATGTTATTGAGAAAAAAACGTGTGGTAAGTATTTTTTGCAATTAATAACAGCAAAAACTTTAAATTTGTATTTTATATTTAATTTTAGACTGAAGTTTATCAGTCTGGCGAAACATTCTGCCCTTATGAAGGACATTTCCCTGTTAACAACGAAGAATGTGGTTCGATGTTTGTTAAGTGCTCATCAACACTAGATTCAGATAATATGGAACCACAAATATTTAGATGTCCGAGAGGTTTCGCTTATTGGTCCGTTAGTAGACGATGTGAGAAAGTTGAAAAATTGCCAAATTGTCGGTCAATGAAATACGATCAAAATAGTTCAGTACCAATCGAATGGATAAATGTCGGAAAACGACGTAGTCTTAATATTTAAAAAATAATTAGTTAAGATTAATTTAAGATCATAAATTAAATGTATTTTTCATTTTATTAATGAGCCCTAGTCGTTGAAGGCTTATATTAATCTTCAGCTATTAGTCTCCAGTATTTTTAAGCAAAAGCCTTACAGTAAATGGTATTCTGCAATTGAAATATTTAAATGATTATTATTTCTATTGCTTTTGTCCATTTTTTCGGGAATCTGCGGTGATAGGGTTATTTATTATTTAATTTTAGTTAAAACGTTCGCGCTATCATATTATGTTATTATTTCAAAAATAATATATTAAAATAATAAGGTAGCTTTCGAAATCAGATTCGTGTTCATTTTATTTTAATTAAGGTATTAAAAATAGACTTCAATATAATTATCAATAATTTTTAGTTATTAACATAAATTTCACTTTTCATTTTTATTTAAAATTTATATATAATTGAAAACGCAATAGTTTAAAAAAAAAACAATATTCTAGTAAAAAATAAATTCGCCATAAATATATGAATTAGTTAGTACGTACTTCTTTTATTTAATAAAAGTAATATTGTAAGAAATTAGATTTTAAAAATAAATAAATTTGTAATTAATAAAATAAAATCTTTACTTTTATTTTTTTCGAATTTTTGAGTTGCGAAACCTGATGAGCTCCTTCTTAAAAGTGTAGTACTTTGGCAATGAACAGTTTTTGATTTTAGGAAAAATGAAGTTTTTAAATTTCCGCGCCAGATTTATCATTAAATTTATCATTAAGATTTGTCATCATAATTTTCTCTTAAAACCGGCTGAATGTCTTCATTCTAAAATTATTGAAACACTCGTAATTGACAATATATTAAATAAAGTTGGGTCAAACCAATGGTTTGTATTGTAGCACTTTTCCCTTCAGCAAGTGAACATTCTGCTTTAAAAAACAGTCTATGTATATCTACCACACTATTAAAATTATTTTCATTCATAAACGAAACTATTTCTAGGATTGCATATATTTAGAATGAACCATTTATGCAGTCTTTGAAATAAAGCAAAAATTAATATAAAGAGGGGTTAACATAATGTTCAATTCTAAGGGTTAATTGTGTGAGTTAAGAAAGATAATTATATTTTTTAATGTCATGGAATTTACCGTTAGCTTTTTGCGTTTATAGAAATTTGAAAAAGCTTGCGGTTTCTTAAATATAAAGTGTCAAAAATTCTAATTTTACAAATTTCAAGAGATGATATTTTGAGAGGGGGTGGAGATGGAAAAAAATTTTCTTCTAACGAAATGAACTATTTGTTAATGTCTAAAAGCCCCTAAAATTTTCTAGTAAAAATCTATGTACGTATTAAATTTCGGCTTTCTATCTTTAAGGGTGTAGAAGTTTAGTAAACAGACACACGGACAAACGGACGGACGGACGGACGGACAGAGTGAAACTAATAAGCACTTTTTTTCAAAAATTTTTTGGATTTAAAAAGAATGATTTTTTATTTAAAATCAATTTGTTTATAAGCTAGTAATAAAAATACAAGCGTATTTTATACTATATACTTTGAATTTCAACATTAATCTTATTCTGGAAACTGCATGCTATATAAATTAAAACCTATAATTTCATATGATGCTTTTTAGGAATTAAGGGTGATAGGGTTTGCAATAAGGGAGAAATGCCAAAATTTTTTACACAAATATACTCGCTATGTCATACGTACATATATTATAACATTTACTATTGCTTTATGTGATATTATAATTACATTCTTGAAACACTGTCCGTGACTTCAAGATTTAAGTACGGTATTATACGGTTGTAGTACCATCTCAGAGCTTTCAATACCTTTACATTGTAAAAAAAAATACTAAAGCTTTTCGTCCATTTTGGAATACAGTTTTTACAATATTATTACATACTTTGACGTTTGTTTGAAAAGTTCAATTTAAAATTCTGTGCAAATGTTAATTTTTGACAAACGTTACCAAGTCATTAAAAACATTGCATTTTTATGCTGCATTTCAGGAAAAAAACTTAATAACTAGCATTTTATTACTGAAAATAAATGCTAATTTATTTAATTGGTTATTTATGGCAACATTTGTATGACAAGGTATAAGAAAAGCGTGTTCGATTTTTTCGATACCCGATTTACTTTTATTTTACGTCTCCACTACGTATAAAACGCATTTAGAAAAAGTGTACAATGTCAAGAGCTCTTACTAAACTTTTTTGGAATTTGTTAATTTTTAAAATTTACGTCGTAAGCGCATTATTGAAGTCACGGTGTGTAAGCAATATTTATTAATTCCAGGGGTAGAACAAATAAAACAAAATCAAAAGATAATAAACCAGAACTAAGTTTATATGTACGTAATATTATGTACACATATGTACATATAATAAATTTTGACGTAAATTTTCTAAAGTTTAACATATATTTTAAAAACTTTACATTTTTGATTTAGAAATTATAGTTTTTTGGAAAATGTTTTTTCGATATTAGTTTAGAATATATATAATAGATATATAAAAACCTAGAAAATCACCTAGTCGCACACCTAGAAAATCATTGCAATAAAAAATTATAATAAAGTTGGGTCAAACCAATGGTTTGTATTGTAGCACTTTTTCCTTCAACAAGTGAAAATACTACTTTTAAATACATTCTATGTATACCTACCACACTATTAAAATTATTTTCGTTCATATACGAAACTATTTCTAGGATTGTATACATTTAGGATGGACGATTTATACAGTCTTTGAAAATTAAGCAAAAATTAATTTAAAAAGGGGATAACATAATGCTCGATTTTAAGAGTTAGTTGCAGCAGTTAAGAAAAATAATTATATTTTTTCATGGAGTTTACCGTTAGATTTTTGCGTTTATAGAAATTTGTAAGAAATATTAAAAGATTTCTAATGAACGGAACTATTCAACCATAAGATAGGGTATAAGATTAGTCACTTTGTTCTAATAATCTAAAATAAAAATAAATAATCTAAAATAAAATTTTAAACAATATTATCCGAATTTAATAAAAATTTTAATAAAGTTAAAGTTTTGAAAATAAATATATTTTGGTAATAAACAACTTCGTCTCCAAAAATATAAATTATTTATACATAGCTAAAAGATTTAGCATAGACATAGCTAAATCGGTTCATAGTTCGAAGCTGAGAAGGAAAAATATTTTTAGATTTTTATTTAGTTTATTGAACTTTGGGTTTTTGAAATATTACTTCATGGGTGCTATATATGCATTTATATTTAAGATCTGTAAATTACATATATGAATGGCAAACGTCATATTCATGACGATACTAATTTGCATGTATACTACTTATTGCTGTTAAAAGTAAATTGAAAATTTCCTTTACACACAAATTTAAAAGGGAATATAACGCGAATAATTTTTAAAAAAAAAGTTATAAATTATGAAATTTTTTACAAATCAGTGGCGAAACAAATTTATTTAAATTCGGCCTTTAAAAAGTTGTTCTTTGTGGTATTGTTATTTATTGTTACTAATATGGTATTTCTATTTATTTCAAACTATTATTGAGTATATTTATATTTTAAAATTACTGTTCTACATCAGTTTTTGGAATGTAAAATAAAAAATTTTATGTATAAAAAAAAAAAAGAAATTAAACAAAATTTGAATCCCTAAAGATAAAAAAACCATTGTTAAGATTAATTTAAATCTACCTTGCATTTATTTGTATTTTCACGTAACTGATCAAATAATGCAATAAAAGTATAAGTTAAAAAAGTAAACTGCATAAAACAGGTAAATTTATGAATTTATGTTGGTATGACAAATAAAAAACTTTTAAATAAAATTCAAAAATTTCTCACATATTTACAGTTAAAATAAATTTTACTAATTCAACTTTCAAGTAAATTAATTTCATTCCAAACGAAATAATTTTCTACAAGTTTTACTTTAATTATTTTATGTAAATATGTGTGTACATACGGAAAAACTGACAAGGTTTTACAAATATAAAAAAAAATATTCCAAGCATATTTTACTCTGTATGTATTATGTAAATATATTTATATTAAGTAAAATAATTTTAATAAGATTTTCATGCAAAGTAGTAAACAAGATGCGTAAGGGGAACCTTGCCTATTAAATAATTTACATATATTACTTTGCAATTCATATATTAAATTGTATGTAAAACGTTTATCTATTCTAGAGGTATTACTTTTTACGATATTTTTACAACGTTAATATTGTAGAATGCATATATGCACATAAGCATAACATTCATATATATTAATTAAGTTTTTGTATAAAATTAACTACTCGTATCTAGAATATGGAATATTAGTGTCATATATACCTAATTTAAAAGGATCACCTATGACTAATAATGATAGTTAAATGAAAAAATTATGCAAAATGATAACAAATTTCAGCTGAAGTTTCCTAATTTTATATAAAAATACTAAAATAATTTTCATAAAAATAATTTAATAAATCCTTAATATAGGCACCTTAACTTCAACTTGAATGATTAATTTACTTGAAAACTACATAAGTTTCATTATAAATTTTGTTTTATTTGATAACAGTAAACTGCAGAATACTGTTTACATCTAATTATTAAACTATTCAGCAGATTAAATTATTAAACTATTCAGCAGATTTATACTTTATTTATATAAAGTTATTATACATAACGCTAAATTCACGAAAACTTACGAAACTTCTCGACTAGCAATTTTATGGCGAATTTTTTTTGTTACAACTATTTCCACCACCTTCCAAAGGTATCGCCTCTCGAATTTCGTTTTATATTAAAGTGCAAACCTTTCGAAATTTCTATAAATAAAGAATAATTCTTAACAAACCATTGGTTTGATTCAATTTTATTAAAATCAAAATTACACAAGACACAAATACTTATTTTTTTCAATAACATAAAACTAAATTTATATATAGAACTCACTCTATATGCGTACATATACATACAATGCTCATTTTCTGTTATACATTTACCACTTTTCTAAACATATGAATAAACAAGTTTCATTATAAATTTTGTTTTATTTGATAACAGTAAACTGCAGAATACTGTTTACATCTAATTATTAAACTATTCAGCAGATTAAATTATTAAACTATTCAGCAGATTTATACTTTATTTAT